ATCATCCGGTTTACTTAATATTTCCCATGTGTTCCTATCATCTAAGTCTTTTAATTCTTCGTTCATTGCTGTTTTCCATTCTTGCGATTGTGGTGAAGTCATGCCTCTTTATATGTCGTAGGTTCTACTGTTTCTGCTAAATTTGATTCTATAGTTTTAGGTTTACCTGCACGACCCCACGGATTTCGAATTGTTTTTCTTGGTCTACCTACACTACGTTTTCTATCTGATGTGGACCCTTGTGTATTAACAGATTTCGCTTTATCATCGCTAGTTACTGACTCTTTATCTTCATCTTCATCCGTGGTATCCACATCATCTGTTTCAACTATACTATTATTATATGGCGTTTCAAGTATTTTTCTGTTATAGATATATTCATATCCGCAAATATCTTCAATAAACTCTACATGTTTTGTTTGAATTACGTCATTTCTAACCGGATCCCATAACCTATATCCCTTAGTTTGACTGGAATAACCAATAAATATACATTCTTTTCCTCTAGAATCGAGTTTGTGTCTACCTTGTTTAATGACATGTGCGTAAGCTAAACATCCATAAACCTTTAGATGTTTTACGCTAGGTTTATTTTTTGTTCAAATTCCTTCTGGGATATCGTTGATGGAAGAATGTATGACTCTATTTTTAATATAACACGCGGTTACTATCGCTTCTACCCAAAATCTTTCGGGTAATTCGGCATTTTTTAAGCATCGTTCGTACTAGATCTAACAGTGTCCTATTAATACGTTCTGCAACTCCGTTCATTTGTGGTGTATCTACGTTTGTATGTTCGTGTTTTATCCCCATGTCGTCAAACATCTGCTTAAGGGTTTTATTACAATACTCTAGCCCATTATCACTCCTGAATCTTTTCACCTTTCTATCAGTTTCTCTTTCTATCCTGGCTATGTATTTTCGAACATATTTAGCTACCTCATTTTTAGTTTTCAAGCAATACACTGTTACTTTTCTAGAATAATCATCAGTAAATGTTAAAACGTACTTTGCTCCACCAATTGATTTTGTCGGCATAGGACCGCATAAATCAGAATGAATCAGTTCTAATACATTTTTTGTTTAT